GTGCTTACAGAAGACCATCCTGATCGACTAGCATCACAACGTGCGCTCGCCAGAGCATATCAAGCAAATGGACAAGTCAAGGAGGCAGTCAAACTACTAGGAGATGTTGTCACGATAGAAGCAGAAGTACTTGCAGAAGACCATCCTGACCGACTAGCATCACAATATGTGCTCGCCGTGGCATATCAAGACAATGGACAGGTCAAGGAAGCAATTGAACTGCTGGAGCACGTTGTCGCGATAGAAGCAAAAGTGCTAGCAGAAGACCATCCTTATCGACGGAGTGGTCCCTTGCTGCTTTCATCTATGAAGGAAAATTTGCTGCAGAGGTCAAAAACAGGACAGGCGTCTGTAGAGGTTCCGCAAGCGATGTCTCATAGCAACAACATGTTCATGGCGACATCAGACCAGTCATCACCGGATCAGGGGCCAGAAGCGAGCAGCACCTCAAGAAGAAGAGTTCTCGTAAATCGGATAAAGGGCATTTTCAGGAAGGACAGGTAGTGCTAGTCTGTTTTTCTGTAAGTAGGGTCCATGTTCAAACCGCGCTATAGTTATATATCTAACGCGTCGATGTGAGATCGAGTTTGTCACTTGCTCAACCAGTGCTCATTAGTGAGTCCTCGAAGCTGTCCGAGGCATGTCGGGTACATATACCCAACCGCGATATCTATCACCTTTTGTGGCTTGATAGTCTGTGCATACGGGGTATGTAATGGCCAAACCATATCACTCGGCACTCGTTGCCATTCATAGTTATGGAGTGATAGCTGTGGGCCTGCGTCTTGGTCAGTCACAATAACCGACAGAGGCTCGCGTCGACATCCCTGGAACAGGAGAGATTTTCGCTGCACCGTATTGTTGATAAGGCGAGGGCATGTATCGACGCTTCAAGTACGGAGTGGACAGGGCATCTGTGACCGAGAGTTAGAGGATTAAATTTTTCTGAGAAAACATAGCCACCAACACTGTCAATGAATGGGAGGAACTGACTCCGTACTTGGTACTTAGTACTAGTGCCCCGTGATAAATCTTGTGGTATGAGTATCAATAATCAGACACTAACGCCAAGCCACACGAGACGAATTTTATTAGCTCAAGGGTGCTTTTCTGCAGGGTCTGGATTCTGAAACATCCGGAACAGAAGGGTTTGAAGCTTGGGACGCAATCGCCGCGGGGTTGCGTCACGACCGACGGTACTAGCTGCCTGAGGCACAGCGATCGTGTTAATTATGAAGAGAATATCCAAAGTAAGTACTGGGTGAAATGTCTTAGTTTTACGTACCTTTAGTTACTCTAAGGCAATGCACGCAAGTGTCTATAGATTGAGGAATCCATCGTATCCAACTGGATTTTTGACAGAGAATCAAGTTTAATGCCGAGTTAATCCAATAGGCGATTGATGGAAAGTTTGGGACGGTTCCTGTTGATGGAGGGGTAGACGTGAAATTGACGTCAGCGAGAATAGATATAAGCAGAAGCTGAATTAGTGCTGAGATATATTAGCTCCAGCTACTCTGTATGTAGTATATTCATCAGCAAAAACGAAAAGCAGCATAATATTTGTACCTACCAACAGTGTACTCCGTACTCCGTACAGTTCCAGCATGGTACTGGCCCACAGAAGAGAACCACAGACCCACGGAACAAGCTGTCGCTGACAGTCACTCACTGCAGGCACCGATTCTCACCCGCCAATCGACGAGCTCGACCAGCTGCCCCAGCACTATTTCCGGCGGAGCAATCGCGGGAATCGTCCTCGGTACCATCGCCGGCACGCTGCTGGTTCTCTGGCTGATCCGACTGTGTATGCTGCCCGGGGCGACGGGAGGGTGGGAGCCCGACTACGGGCAACGCGGGGACCTGACGCGTTCTCGGGCGTCACATTCTCGTCCGAGAAGGGGATCAGTGGTGGAATATGTGGAAAAACCCAGTCGGAGTCGATCAAGACGGTATGGAGAGGAGGTGAGGAGGCCACAGCGAGTGTATCTTAGTTAGGGGAGGATTCGAGAGGATTCGAGAGGAGGAGGGGGGGAGAGTGGCGGTCAGGAGTAGGAGTAGCAGTAGGAGGTAGTATTCTAAAGTGACCATAAATACCTAGTGTGGTTAGTAGGATTAGATGTCTGAGTGGTAGTAAAACATTCAAGTAAGAGTATCTTCTAGTTTATAGTAGTAATAATTATGATGCTCTGTATATTCTATGGTATTACCACTTCCCTACTCCTATTACTGTCTTACAATGACTAGGACAGGGTATACTAGTAACTACCTACTACTGTCATAGATCAAAATAGAAACAAATCAATAGTCGACACGCTAAAAAGCTTCACTCCCAGTCTTACAAGGACTACTTGGCTAGTCAGCTACCTAGTTAGTAGGAGTTAGTTACTCCGTAGTGGTTACTATAGTAAATGAATACTATCACCGTGATCCGATCCTGTCGGACGAACCTTTCATCGCCCACTAGGCTCATAGTCGGTACGCCCCAAAGCTTCGCTTACCGACTGGTTTTGCTCTGATTGAGGTCAACTGGCCGAGTGAATAGTCCTCTGGGTGGATCAAACTCGAGGTATTATTATTTAGTATTCCCTCCGTATTCCTCCATGCTAGTTCATGGTACTAAGTACTAGTAGTACTCCGTAGTTCTATTCTCGAAGCCGGCCTTCCCGCGTTGACGTTACGGAGTAGACAATGCCCATTAATAAAATTGCGCTCTCCTCTGAAGAAGCTACCCAGTACCTACGGAGTACCTTAGAAGTTAGTAACTTAAATAGTACCAAGGTAGGGTCACGTGTACTCCGTACTCCGTATTCTGTCTTACTCTTCCTACTGAGGTCTGACCCATCTTCCTCCGTCTCCGTTCGCCTACAGCGTGGTCGTACAAAGGACTTCCCCAGTCTCCCTCTGTTATGCCTCGACGCAAGGGCCAAGCGGCACGTTAACCACCCCGTGTCATGTCAGTCAGTGGCAGTGGCAGTGGCAGTGGCAGTGGCAGTTATGGAGTGATGTCAGCCATCTCTCTTTTTTTTTTTTTTTTTGTTTTTTTTTTTCCGACAGTTCCCTCAGGAGTGAATTGGGTTTTAAAAAAAGTGCTGCTTTGCCTCCTATTCCGCGCTAACCAATTTTAGTCCCTGGAGCTAGTCGAGCCGACGTGACCCGCAACAGAAGAGGGTCTTTGCGACTTTGAGGAAAGGAACAGATGGAGTGTGTAGGGAGTATGTAGTGCCTAGTTAACTATAACTAACTACTGTGGACTATACAATGTGTAGTGAACTATGTAGTATGTAGTATATCTCCTGTTTCAGGATAATTAGCAGTCCACTTCATCTCGTCACAGGATTAATCCTTAATTATGATAGTCAAGCAGTCCGACTAATAATGACCCTTATCAGCCCTTTTCGCAGGCATTCGACGGCCAGTGGCCACTAGTCCCAACGCGGTATGGTTCCAGGGACCAGCAACATGCCGGCCTCTGCCCCTTACGCTGGGACCCAGCAGAGCCAACACCAAAACAGCAGCAGGCTTGGGGGGGACCGCGAGAGTGATTGGCAATTCCTGACTGGGCAGGCTCCCAGTAGGTTCCTTCCCTTTTACTCCATCCTGACTGACTCCGTTCTGACTCCGTACTAGCCTCTACCAGGTATTAATCACTCGCCCCCCCCCCTCAAAGGGCCAACCCTCTTCCCTCCTCCCTCCTTCCTCC